CTGTCAATACTTTTCCACTCTCTCCCATCTTTCTTGTGGTTCCTTTTCCTCTCTCTCCAGCCGTTCCTGTCAATACTTTTCCACTCTCTCCCGTCTTTCTTGTGGCTCCTTTTCTTCTCTCTCCACCTTTTCCTGTCAATACTTTTCCTCTCTCTACAGTCTTTCTTGTGGTTCCTTTCCCTCATTCTCCACCCTTTCCTATAATTACTTTTCCTCTCTCTCCAGCTTTTCTTGACGATTCTTTTCCTCTCTTTCCAGCCTTTCTGGTGTTTCCTTGCCCTCTCCCTCCGGCCTTTCCTGTCAACACTTTTCCTCTCTCTCCAGCCTTTCTTGACGATTCTTTTCCTCTCTTTCCAGCCTTTCTTGTGCTTCTTTTCCCTCTCCCTCTAGCCTTTCCTGGTAATACTTTTCCTATCTTTCCATCCCATCATGTGCTTCTTTTCCTTCTCCCTCCAGTCTTTCCTGGTAATACTTTTCCTATCTTTCCATCCCATCATGTGCTTCTTTTCCCTCTCCCTCCAGCCTTTCCTGGTAATACTTTTCCTATCTTTCCATCCCACATGTGCTTCTTTTCCCTCTCCCTCCAGCCTTTCCTGGTAATACTTTTCCTATCTTTCCATTCCACATGTGCTTCCTTTCCCTCTCCCTCCAGCCTTTCCTGGTAATACTTTTCCTATCTTTCCATCCCACGTGTGCTTCCTTTCCCTCTCCCTCCAGCCTTTCCTGGTAATACTTTTCCTATCTTTCCATCCCACGTGTGCTTCTTTTCCCCCTCCCTCCAGCCTTTCCTGGTAATACTTTTCCTATCTTTCCATCCCACCATGTGCTTCTTTTCCCTCTCCCTCCAGCCTTTCCTGGTAATACTTTTCCTATCTTTCCATTCCACATGTGCTTCCTTTCCCTCTCCCTCCAGCCTTTCCTGGTAATACTTTTCCTATCTTTCCAGCCTTTCTTGTGCTTCCTTTCCCTCTCCCTCCAGCCTTTCCTGGTAATACTTTTCCTATCTTTCCATTCCACATGTGCTTCTTTTCCCTCTCCCTCCAGCCTTTCCTGGTAATACTTTCCCTATCTTTCCAGCCTTTCTTGTGCTTCTTTTCCCTCTCCCTCCAGCCTTTCCTGGTAATACTTTTCCTATCTTTCCATCCCACATGTGCTTCTTTTCCCTCTCCCTCCAGCCTTTCCTGGTAATACTTTTCGTATCTTTCCATCCCATCATGTGCTTCTTTTCCCTCTCTCTCCAACCTTTCCTGGTAATACTTTTCCTATCTTTCCATTCCACATGTGCTTCCTTTCCCTCTCCCTCCAGCCTTTCCTGGTAATACTTTTCCTATCTTTCCAGCCCTTCTTGTGCTTCTTTTCCCTCTCCCTCCAACCTTTCCTGGTAATACTTTTCCTATCTTTCCATCCCACATGTGCTTCTTTTCCCTCTCTCTCCAACCTTTCCTGGTAATACTTTTCCTATCTTTCCATCCCATCATGTGCTTCCTTTCCCTCTCCCTCCAGCCTTTCCTGGTAATACTTTTCCTATCTTTCCATCCCACGTGTGCTTCTTTTCCCTCTCCCTCCAGCCTTTCCTGGTAATACTTTTCCTATCTTTCCATCCCATCATGTGCTTCTTTTCCCTCTCCCTCCAGCCTTTCCTGGTAATACTTTTCCTATCTTTCCATCCCATCATGTGCTTCTTTTCCCCCTCCCTCCAGCCTTTCCTGGTAATACTTTTCCTATCTTTCCATCCCACGTGTGCTTCTTTTCCCTCTCCCTCCAGCCTTTCCTGGTAATACTTTTCCTATCTTTCCATCCCACATGTGCTTCCTTTCCCTCTCCCTCCAGCCTTTCCTGGTAATACTTTTCCTATCTTTCCATCCCATCATGTGTTTCCTTTCCCCCACATCTCCTCCAGCCTTTCCTGGTAATACTTTTCCTATCTTTCCATCCCACATGTGCTTCTTTTCCCTCTCTCCAGCCTTTCCTGGTAATACTTTTCCTATCTTTCCATCCCACATGTGCTTCTTTTCCCTCTCCTCCAGCCTTTCCTGGTAATACTTTTCCTATCTTTCCATCCCATCATGTGCTTCTTTTCCCTCTCCCTCCAGCCTTTCCTGGTAATACTTTTCCTATCTTTCCATTCCACATGTGCTTCTTTTCCCTCTCCCTCCAGCCTTTCCTGGTAATACTTTTCCTATCTTTCCATCCCACATGTGCTTCTTTTCCCTCTCCCTCCAGCCTTTCCTGGTAATACTTTTCCTATCTTTCCATTCCACATGTGCTTCCTTTCCCTCTCCCTCCAGCCTTTCCTGGTAATACTTTTCCTATCTTTCCATCCCACATGTGCTTCTTTTCCCTCTCCCTCCAGCCTTTCCTGGTAATACTTTTCCTATCTTTCCATCCCATCATGTGCTTCTTTTCCCTCTCCCTCCAGCGTTTCCTGGTAATACTTTTCCTATCTTTCCATCCCATCATGTGCTTCTTTTCCCTCGCCCTCCAGCCCTTCCTGGTAATACTTTTCCTATCTTTCCAGCCTTAACCTTGGTAATACTTTTCTTTTCCATTTTTCCCCCTCTCCTCCAGCCTTTCCTGGTAATACTTTTCCTATCTTTCCATTCCATCATGTGCTTCTTTTCCCTCTCTCTCCAACCTTTCCTGGTAATACTTTTCCTATCTTTCCATTCCACATGTGCTTCCTTTCCCTCTCCCTCCAGCCTTTCCTGGTAATACTTTTCCTATCTTTCCAGCCTTTCTTGTGCTTCTTTTCCCTCTCCCTCCAACCTTTCCTGGTAATACTTTTCCTATCTTTCCATCCCACATGTGCTTCTTTTCCCTCTCCCTCCAGCCTTTCCTGGTAATACTTTTCCTATCTTTCCATCCCATCATGTGCTTCTTTTCCCTCTCCCTCCAGCCTTTCCTGGTAATACTTTTCCTATCTTTCCATCCCATCATGTGCTTCTTTTCCCTCTCCCTCCAGCCTTTCCTGGTAATACTTTTCCTATCTTTCCATCCCACATGTGCTTCTTTTCCCTCTCCCTCCAACCTTTCCTGGTAATACTTTTCCTATCTTTCCATCCCATCATGTGCTTCCTTACCCTCTCCCTCCGGCCTTTCCTGTCAATGCTTTTCCTCTCTCTCTAGTCGCTCTTGTGGCCCCTTTCCCTCTCTCTTTAGCCTTTCCTGTTAATACTTTTCCTCTCTCTTCAGCTTTTCTTGTCTTTCTCTTTCTTTTCTTTTGAGCCTTTCTTGTCCTTCCTTTTCTTCTTTCTCCAGCTTCTTTTAGTCTCATTGCCTTCTTTACCTTTAACTTGAAGTATTTGGGAGATGAAATAAGCTCTTCTTTCCTCAAATCGTGGAATGTATCTCCGTCGGGCTTTGACATAAATTCTCCTGGATTAAGATATGACTTCCTGCCATACTCTATGACTACTCTAACAGATAGTTACTTCTCTTCAAAATAATCTACAATAAACTCCACAGCAAAATTCGCTCCAGGAAAGGTCCCCAATTTCTGTTACGGTGTAATTTGGACAACAGAAAGAACAAAATAATCTTACAAACCCAACTATTTCGTTGAACAACGCATGATATGCTTACCGAGGAGTGATCCCTGATGGCGATATAGTAATTATCCGTGACAAACTCACTTAAACCTACTACAAACTATAAAGTAGCTCACCACTGACACAATCTCACAGCTGTTTCTGAAGTTCCTCGAAATGAACAGTCTTCCACAGTAGCTCTCTCTCGGTATAGCTTTCCAAACAAAGTATTCGGGAACATTCCAGAAGCTTGTAACACAACTGTTTTGGTTGTGTTACATCATGAATACGTAAGTTAACAGAATTTTCCTGAGAGTTCCATAGCATGACAGTAAAAAGTTCGTGTATACATGTCAGCATGACTAGGCATTCTAGAATTTTCTAGAAACTTATCTTTACAATTATTATTACCATTTTTGTGATTGGCACTCGTGATAATATCGGTTTTGCCTTATGTAACTCAGCGGGAGAAAACTGTTTCATTTTAAAAGCGGGATATTGGCCGGTTTCCAGCTCAGAAGCCAACCGTATCCCTAAGTTCGAGTCAACTCAGTTTTCTCCTTTTTCCTTTAGTTTATTGTTTTTTGGTTTGATTTCTGTGTCAAAATGATGCAACAGGGATGCAAGAGCCCCTGGTTTTTAACTTTAAACGTTTACCCCGTCTTTTGTGACGGTCAATTCTGCACTGGTTCACAGCTGCGTTCAATGCATGAGATAACATTCCAATGCATCCACAAGTTGTCCTCACAGATTCTGAACTCTTTCGATAACACACAACTGAGGCATAAGTCCCATTTTAACGAAGAACTGTCTAAACATTGCGAAAAAATGAAAGGGACGAGGAAAGAGAGGAAATAGAAGGCGGAAAGATCATGAGATTTTTGTGATTGGCCCCCGTGATAACTTCGGCTTCGGTAGTGGAAGAAAACGACAAAAACAAAATTTGAGTCATATCTCATTTTCAGGAGGAAATAATAAAATAAGTCTAAAAGTTATATAAATGTAAGTCGGCGTAAAACGCGCTTAAGTCTCATACAAAGTGTTATTTTCAACAGGTAGATAGGACGATACAGGGGATTTAACCCTAGATGGGTGGAAAAGAGCACGCTATAAAGTGTACACTTGGCGTGATATTGTTTGCAGTACTACTCTGACTAATTGAGACGAATTACTTTCCCGCAAATGAACCCTCCTCCTTCATGTCACCAATTTCTGCAAGAGAGGCAAAAATTGATGATAGTGGCGAGTACGTTAACAGACGTTCTAGGCCAAAGATAGCAGCAGATAAGGAAAAAAATTATTGTAACGACCAAAGGATCTGAGACAAAGCGTTGGCTTATAGTATATTGATCATTAAACGCGACTTCTTTCTACTAGTGTTCACGGTAGCCGCTCATTCTCCTGATAACTTTCAAAAATGTTGTTATTTACAGGTAGACTGTACTACGACGGAAACAAAAGATTTATCACAGGATGGCAGGAAAAAAGTACGCTCTAAAGTATATACTTGGCTTGATACTGTTTGCAATGCTACTGTGGCAACTTCGGACAAATCATTTTCTCTCGAATAAAAATTCCACCTCCATGACACCAGTTGCTGTATGGAGAACGAAAACGGATGACATGAAAGAACCTGTTAAGAATAGTTCAAAGCTAAAGATACAAGCTGCGAATATCACAACACCGCACGGCATAAATGTAACAACTAAAGGATCAGAGACAAAGCGTTGGCTTATAGTATATTGGTCAAAGTTTTTTGGAAGAAGGCTCGATCTTCACGAGACATTCGAAAAAGGCGACTGCCCAGTACAGTGTGAGTGGACTAGTGATCAATCCAGAGCAAAAGAGGCAGATGCTTTTTTAGTCCATGCCAGGGACCCACGACCAGACCCACCAATAAAATCGGTGCCTTGGATTCTGCAGACTCGAGAAAATCCAATTCACACACCGGTATTGAACGACGCCAGCTTCATGTCGAAATTTAGCTACTTGAAAAGTTATCGGCTGGACTCAGACTTTCCAGATCCCTCTGTCTTGCTGCCTGGTGTAGCACCCCCTGTTCCTTTTAAGAATAAGACTGGGCTCATCATGGCAGCTTTCTCAAATTGTGAAGTTGTTCGAACCGAGTACATGAGGCAGCTGATGAAGTTTGTAAAGGTTGATTCTTTCGGCGCCTGTCTAAGGAACAATAATAGTCTAGTGGGTAGGTACGGCAAAAACAAACAGGGCACTGATTTCAGAGATGCTAAATCCATGCTGGCCAGACAGTACAAGTTCAACCTGGTGTTCTTCAACCAAGACTGTAATTATTTTGTGGATGCTCAACTACACCACGCAATGGATGCAGGCTCGGTTCCTGTTGTCATGGCTACAGATAAGCTGGATGAGTTTCTACCCGGGCCCTATCTTAACCGTTCAGTGATAAAAGTGCGTGATTTCAAGAGCCCACAACTGTTGGCTGAATACCTCAAGTATCTTAGCAACAACGAAACCGAGTACAATAAATATCTGGAGTGGAAGTGGAAAGGATATGGCAACATCAGTGGAACTGCTATCGGAAATTATTGGATGCCAAAGTATCCGTTGTATTGTCAAGTTTGTGTTGCAGTTTCGAAAGGGAAAGGACACAAAGAGGGTCTGAAACCATTCAATTGCAAACCAAGGAAATTTGAAGACTGGGGAATTACAAAAGGAGCCTAACTTAAGTCAACTATTGTCAGTTGTAGAGGAAACTGTTCGCCTTTGGAAACCGACGTTAATTAGAAATACCGGTAAGATACTGCTTATAAAGAAGTATTAATTTGGGAGAACTTACGACACGAACAATGGTAATGCTTTTGATGTTATAGAGGTGCTGACGATTAAGAATAAGGAAAATGAACGCGACCTTCAAACTGAAGTTGGTCACTGTGTTGTACAAGTGTGTAGCTCAAAACAAAAGTGTAAACAACAAAATATACAAATGGGAAGCTGCATTAAAACATTGAGTGGCAAGTGAATTAAATTAGAAGTAGACCCAACATTCCGTTTGGCAAGCATACCTAAGAATTTAGAGAAGGGATTGATTTCAACTCAAATTAAACCCAATCTTTCAGCAAAGCGCATTGCCCGTGAAATCTTAAACAGGAATCTACTCAGATACTGTTAATTAACGAGGGAATGTCGTCGCTGCACCCTCGAACAAGACTGTTCAAAGGGTCCCATGTCTAAGAGTAATTCTGCTTTCACGACGGAAAAATTTGAAGCAAAATATATTAAAGTTCACACGGCAACCAGGTGGACAATCAGACATAGTTTGATGCTACTCTGGTTTACACTAGTCGGCGTTACCACCAGCGCCTTTGTTTGGAGGCTTGGCATATTAACTCCGCCCACGCTCCTTTAAATCGTGACGATGGCGGTTTGTTTCCTGACGCCGCCTATTTACACCTCGTCAGAAAAAAGGCCGCCAATTAGTGATCATATAAAAGGACCTCTTGTTGCAGCGTTTAGATCACCTCTAATGAAGGCACCAGACAGGAGTGTCGAAACGTTGGGTCTATGAATTGTAACTTCTTAGGTTACATTCATTAAATCTGCAAACCAGAGTAGCATCAAACTATGTCTGAAAGTTGAAGCACTTCACTGTTATCTGTGCGATATACATTTGTTTTCCTTCACCTGTAACGTTTGGCATAATGGATCATGATAACGACATAACACTGAGCTTCTGTTCGCCTTGTAGGACCTGAGTTTAAATAAAGCTGTGACGTTTTTGTGTGATATTAAAATAATACTTTTTTTCCCATGCACATTAAATTCTTTAGACCTCCTCAAAGAAGTCAACGGTGAGATTATTTCGTGGTAACTTCTTACCGATTGTTTTTCCTTTCGCAAAGGCTTAACTTAAAACATTTTTTAAATTATTCCGTGTTCACAAATAATGAATGATCTTAATTTTTTTCTATTGGACTTGCAGTCAGATGTGATGAATGTAGGATGAGGTTGTCGGTCAGAAAAAAAGAGTGATCACAAATCCAAATTAATGCACTAAAGCAAGTGGAGAATGGAGGGTAGTTTGTGACGAGCGGTGGGCAGAGTTTTTCGGGTTTGGATGGCCTTATGTGAAGAATTTCCTCGGTGAGTCTTTCTGTAGCAGATAACCTTGAGGAGGTTTGAAAGTTGGCGAAGAGAAAAGTTGGAAAAATTGATAAATTAATCTTTTAGCAGCACCTTGTGCAAGTTTCCTAAAGACAACGAGCCAGAAGCTTGGTTAACGTAAATCCTAGATTAAAACAGTGAGTTAGTGTTTCTCCTGATCAACAATCCCGTAAATAACTGACTGGATCAGCTGAGAGACCCATTCAAAGGTCCACTGTGAATTCTCTCACTTTTACCACAGCACAATTGAACGTTGTTCTTGTTATACGGCTCGACTAACTGAATCTCCCACACTACGAAGATAAACCCTTTAAATCCCACAGGTGACCAAGGCAGAATTTCTCCTTACATTATAATCAGTTGATCCAATACCAGATTCTTCTAACTAACTTTATAAGAATTGCATGGCAGACACTAAGGAGAGTTACTAGTGAGATCTTAGGAGTGAAAGAATTAAATTGAAAAGGTTACACGAACCTCTTTTGAAGAGGTGCATTCCTGTAGAGTCAGTAGCCTATCAATGAGACCTGCTGTGGTTCACTCTTGGAAGTATTTCACCACATACAACTTTGTTACCCTGGATTTGCTCAACATTTGCTTCATGAGTACAATAATCCCATTCAAGAACAAGCAAGGTTTGATTTTTGTCATAAATATTTAATAATGTTGATTTTAATTGTCACTTGAACCATTAATTCACTTTAACGAGATGAGGTAAAATGAATGATGAAAATTTAGTGAGTGAATTCTTGTTAATCTCGTTTTATTTCATCTTAAGGATTGTTCAACATTATAACACTTTTAGCTCTGATATTGTTGCAAAACAAAATTCTTGCATGCTTCTTCTCATTACTGATCAGCAGACTTAACAGAGTAATTTTTAAGTGTTTTAAAATAAAAAAAAGTCAAGGAGCTTCTTTTTTTCTTGATGTAGAAGTTAAGTGGTTCAACCAGTATTGTAATGGGGTGCCAATATTCCAGCAATCACAACTTCAAAAGTCACTGGAAAAAAAAGAAAAAAATAATGAATGCTAACACATTTCATGGAACTGCAGGGTTGTGGAATTATTCAAGCTGCATGGTTGCAGAATGATAAACTCATCAGTAGTTTTCCTACTTACCGAACATCTAACTTCAGTAGAGGATCAATGAGCTGTTTCCATTCCTCCACAGTCCAAGCAGCAGATGCCTGGCTAACAAAAACCCCATTCAGGAAGAAAAATGGAGTTCCAGAAACTGTCCCTGAAACAAACAGCAATGAAAATAATGTCCAACAATCTCTCTGGTGGTATAGAAAGTTAATTCAATGCTGTCATGCCAGTTATTGTTGCAGTTTATAGCTTACATTTTATCAAAAAGTGTGACTTCCAAATCCCACAAAAGTTTCAGATTAAAATAGTGAATATAACACAAAGAAATATAAACTCAAACCTTATTTGAAAAATCTCAAACCAAGGATAATTTGAACCACAATACATATCCAAACAAATACTGAGTAACTATGTAACTCTTATCCCATCTCACAAACTCTTTATTTTTACTCAATTTACTCCTGGGAGTGTGAGAGATTATCATGTAGTGTCATCATTGATGGAGGCAGTCTGGCCCAGTCATAGGTTACAGCACTAGGCTTGAAATCTGTTGGTCACGAGTTAAAGACCTCCAGGCTGTGACTCACTGGATTTGTTCTCATTTGCCCCAGGTTTAACTCCTTAGCTGCACTTTGTAATTTTAGCCAACTGATCTACCTCTGGCTTAAGTTGGGATTTGTAACAATTTAGGCTTATTTACAATGTGAAAAGCTCCATCGTGGGAACAGTCAATAAAGTATACATTACATTTCCCATTCCACAATTGGACATTTTTAAGGGTTTTCTTGAGGACTGTAGTCAGTTACAGTGCTATGAGTGGTTCATATTTCTAGGGAAATAAATTAATTGGCCCCAGGCCTACAAGCTAGGCCTGGCCAGAGTTGACAGATATTTGGTTGATGTTTGATCATCCGTTTTGTGTTTTGTTACTTTGATCATTGTAGTTGTTTTATCATAACAGATTTAAAGTCACTCAGTAACTTGGGTCTGTTATCAATTTAAATAGCAGATGCTTGGAGAGTACCAAGCAAAAACAAGAATTGTAATATCACTGAAACTAATGACATAACACTTTACACAAGCTACTAAGGTAAAATTAGTCTGTTACAGTTGATGGTATGATTTGAAATATTTTGTACTGACATAATATAAGCTACAGATTTGTATTACTTAGATCTGAAACTAGGTTTATTGCTGATCTTAATGTAATTTGACTAGCTGAGCACTTAACAAGTCCTAAACTTACTTGAACAACCATATTTCCAAGAGATTCTTGTATGTTCATTATATTCTGTGTTTGTAAGTCCATCCTTGATAACAGCCTTGTCAATGTCAATTTTACTTCCTAAATCAGCAATGATGCTACAGGTATGAGAGAAAAGAGAAAATGATACGTTACGTCATTGGCCTGGGTGTTGAGAGTTTGCAAAAATTAAGAAAAAAGTGAACAAAATTGCATGTGCAACAAAAAAATCTTGCATTTCTAAACTCAGCAGCTGAGGATTTTGGAATTGTGGTTTTAAGGATAAAGAAGCAAGTTAGGATTACACTTTCATTCAAAGTGATAGGAAGTCTAATATTAAAAAAATCTGTTACTGAGAAAAGGCTTACTTTATGACATCATATCTGTTTTTGTCCATAGTCTGGAAATCATAGAGTTGGTTCTGGTTCTCAAATATGACATCCATCCAGCTTATTACAAGGGAAGTATTGTAAGCTTCCACAGCATAAACACTCTGAAAATTAATCAAAGTTGTTTCTAACACTTCAATGCGGGATGCTGTATATTTAGATAACACAGTGTTACCAAAACTTTGCAGTAAAATTTGTTAGAAAAATCAACCATCCAATAGTTGAATCATGAAATAAATATAAAATACACTCTAAAAAATTTGGAAAGTTATATGTGATTTATAAGTAGCTCTGAGAAATTGAACTACATATCATTTCATGGTAGCAATAAAAATAGCACAATGTCTTTGTTGATATGTATACATACAATTATTTGTTAACCTACAGTTAGTGAAAATCAATCTCATTAATATGAATCTTGATATAAGAGCGATGAGGTGTCTTCCAAGATTTAGCAATTTGTGTGCATGCAAGTCATAACACTTGGATAGGACCAGTGGTTGTGCAAGCTAATACAGAGTTTTATTGCAAAATTATTTCTGTAAATCACTGCTTAGATATCTGAGTTTGTTCCATTAGCAATCAAGCGTTAGAAAGCAAACAAGTTGACTTCTAACTTCGGAAGTAGTTTCCCTTTCACCCACAGCATAGGCAGTTTTGATTATTTCTATATTTCATTAGTGTTTGTTAGTTATTGCTGATTAATGGACTGTTGTTTGGAAGATATTCTGTCAAATTCTTTTTTTGTAATAGTCTATTGCTTCATGTGTGAAGGATAGTGATTCAATTAATTGCCTGATCCCAAAACAAGATGACTTAGCTTAATCCTTAATCCTCAGTCTACTGACTATTTGTGCTTAAATTTCTGTCGCATAGTCACAGGCAATCATTTAAGTTGAGAAGGGGAAAGGTAAATTTCAGAAGATGACTAGACCACAAGATACCTATGGAACCAAAATTTTGTTATGATGCAGTACTGCTACAAGTTTAGGTGCATCATACTAAGATTTAGGTTTTTTGGGTTTAACAGTCTTAGCCATTTTCAAAATTTTCAAAATCAGTTTTTCAGCTCTGACATGACTAAATGGTTTATGAAACTGTACAGGGAAAATGGAAAATGAAAATGGAAAATGGAAAATGTTTGTTACCCCTTTGGTATTCTGTTTTTTTTTTCCTTATTGATGTTTGCTTTTCAGTATTTGTGAAAGAAGAGTGGGCCATTCTTTTTTATATTTTCCAGCTTAGCCTTGGCATATTGGCATACAAAGCAGTTTTGAGTTTCCCTCTTAAGAGCTAGTTCTGTGTTTGAATAAGGGTTAGTTGGTTTCTCATTACACTTCAAAAGCAGTTTTGATCATCAATCTTGGTTTTTGCTTTTGAAGGAAATTTTGGCCAGTATAATTTCTGCTTTTAGATTTAGACGCAAGTAGACCTCTTCCAGAAATTTTGCAGATAATACAAGAAGTGGGAGGTCGTTTATGAGCTACTGTAAAAATAGTACAGAAATTATTCTAAAAAACTAATAAATTGAAGTTTTTTGAAGGAGTGACATGAGCCAAAAGGTGAGGAGAGGGTGGGGGACATGGACAAATTGGTACCAGTAATGTATACAACTGCTAGAGTTTATTACAGCAACGACTGAGTTGTGAGTACCTAGAGCTTTTTTAATTCCAAGATCTTCTACACTTTGTTGTCTCCAAGTTGCGATATATAAGCTTGTTTATTTACGTCATGTCACGGAGGTTTATAAAAATTGAAAATCCTGCAACGAGAAATTGCATGCGCATGCTAAATAACGTCAAAGAATGAGGGTGCCTAGAGTTAAGGTTTTCCTTTAAAGTAACCTTAGAATTTTTCTTACCCAAATGTATTACCTCTGTTCATAATCTAGGGCTGTTGTAACGTTACATGTTACATAACTCTGATGATGCGAGTATAGACAAGCCGATATATATTTTTTCAACTCACTTGTGCCGCTAGGAATGCATTTGTGTGATATGGCAACGGGAACAACTGCAAGGTAAACTGGACAGTTTCAGGACCGTACATATCTGCGACTTTTTTGAGAGTCGGCCATGCTTGTTGACAATCCGGGCAAGTCAAATCAACAAATGCTTCCAAGTGAATTGGTGCAGTCGGCTCGCCTCCTTTATAGACAAAACCCAGCGGACGTTTAGGTAAAGGAATCTGTGAGTTACCAGCAGTTATCAATACTGCAGCGAGCAACAGGTGCGACGCAAATTTCGTCATGACGGTTTCACCAGTGTTGAATTAGTCGTGTGCCACATATTTATTCCATCAAGAAAAGTCACATGACGAAGAGGCACGTAACGCGACAAGTAATCAAGGGTGACTCAGCACTTACTTCATCATTGTCACGCTTTATTTGTTAGCAGTACAATTATTTGGGATCTTATACACATCCGAACTTACTTAAAAATTAATTTGACCAGTTCATCTATGAAGTTTAGTGCATTAAATTGTATATCAATTGAAATATTTTACATTTTTGTCTGCCTTCAATTGACTTCTGTAGTCTTCTATTTGAGATCTGATGCTTCCGGGATCTTGAGCTGGTTTACAGTACGGCTTTAGCTTGCGTGCTTTCTTTAGCAACTATTTCATGTATACTTTCACTTGATTCAGGCTTTATTGTCGACAATTCAGCATTACACGTTCCGTTCTACGATCTATCTATTCTATTCCAATCTAACTTAGGGTTACAAAAATTGCTACATTCATTAGCTTAAGAAATCTACACCCAGATACGCAATTTCGTGCGGGATTCAAGACTTGCTCACGTTGTTCTACAACGATTTGTGGGTACGAATTTCCCATCAAACATGGCTTTACTTGACAATCATACTACTATATTCCTACGCGCTTTACGCCCTGGAAATACCTAATTTGAAATATCACTGTTCGCAAAACTAATTCGATTCCTATGACTACTACTACCTAAATGGTGACGTAAATGCTTTACTTAGACGGTAGAAAAATTTTACTGTAAGGGTAACGAAATTACAACTTACTTGATACACAATTATAATTAAATAATAAAAATTAAATATTATAATTAAAATTATAATAAGTCAAAGAAATCAATTTTGAGCATGGAATCGCTTCACCAGAGTCCTTGTGGACGTAGCCTGTAGAGCAGGTGTAATTTTTTAGTGAACGAGTGCTCAGTATTTTCTTAGCGAAAATTATAGCCACCTTCTTTGATTTTAATGGCAGCGGAAGGGTGGGGAGAGAAAGAAATTTGTACCAAAGGGGCAGTCGACGGTAAAAAAACAAGCAGAGGGGTAGGGGTGGGGGACTGAAGAGTAGTGGACGTAGATGTTAGTTTTCCACAAAATTTCGTGACGTATTATCGTGACAATATCCAATATCTGGATTCTTACAGCGTTAATTCACATCAAGATATCACACATGGATTAAATCGTCATGAAAATTTTTGCGTCAAGATCGATAGAATTACCTCCACTGAAAAAAAAGGGAAAGGAAAGAAAGATTCTTAACTTATTTACGTTCTTTGAAAAGTACGCGATTATTCTTTCCCGCTAAATGTTTTTAATTGTCTCAATAACAGATGGACCCAGCTTTTAATTTCAACACACTCGAGTGTTAAAAAACGGCTGGGGGCAATTTTGTGTAACAACTATGTCTAGTCATTATTATGTTGGTTATATTTGTTATTATGATGTCTGAAAGTTGAAATCGAGAGAAAAATAAAGAACGGTAAACGGACATCTACCATGTCATCTACGTATGTTTCGTGATGAGGAGACAATTAGCATACTAACATAAACATCGCACGAGCGAGGTCTGGCTCGACTATGATATAAGGTGTTTCGCATCATGGCTAAAGATGCGCGAAGAAAAGTTTTAATTCTGCAAATTGTTTGTGTCTTTCTTGCATTATTGTCATTGGGTCTACTGATCGCATTAATTTTGGTGTCAACAAGAGATAAGAATGGAAGTTTGGAAAATGGATCGTCCTCCCAAGTCAATGATTTTTGCCCAGATAACACACGGCTGAAACTTCAGTCAGTACGCTCCACGGGTCTATTCAACGACTTAACCAAGGATGAGATAATCGCTGTTCGTGACTACATCCTGAGCCAGCCGTCCATGAACGTTACACCTTATGAACAAGCGGCCATAAACATGAACTTCATTTACTTAATTGAGCTGCAGCAACCACTTAAAGACGAAGCGCTTGCATTTCTCGATAGCAACAACGACGCCTTAAAGCCCGAACGCAAGGCTCGTGTCGTTATTTTTAATGGTGGAAAAGGTAACCCGGACGTAAAAGAATATCTCGTGAGTCCAGCTGCGAAACCGACCAAACATGAAGAAACAACCGGCCCCGGTCAAAAATATCCGATTCCGTTTGATTCCCGCCCACCGGGAGGTAAGGATATAGAAGTTATAGAACGCATTGTCTTGAACGTAACAAAACAAGCCTTTGACTTGCTGAAGGAAAGCTTCGATGGGTACACATACAGTGGCTGTACTGACCGCTGCTTAGTATGGTCCGAGTCTGCACCCGGACAGTCTGGCCACCGTGAAAAATGGATCTGGTTTGTTCGGAAACTACAGGGAAGCTACGTGCATCCGGTTGGCTTTGAGATCTATCTTAACACACAAGGCAACGATGTTTCCTTGTGGAAAGTTGAAAAAGTGTTCTATTATAATCAGTCATTTGATAGTGTTGAAGAACTGATGCAAGGTTACAAGAACGGCACTCTACACAAAGTCTTTCTCCCTGCGCCATCTTCCTCGAGTGAAACGCCTTTGTACTCGTCTTATTTTCAGCGAGGAAAACCACAACCCTCGATACCCCTGAGACCACCCCAACTGGTTGAGCCCGATGGTAAGCGCTATACCGTCAGCGGAAGTCACGTGGAATACATGAAGTGGAGTTTTGATTTTCGTTCCCGCAGTTCCACTGGGATGCAGCTGTTTGATATCAAATTCGACGGCGAAAGAATCGTGTATGAACTCAGTCTCCAGGAGGCTGCAGCATTTTACTCAGGGTGGAGTCCCATGCAGATGATGACCGAATATCTCGATGCCTCCTGGGGCATGGGCAGCAGCAAGTTTGAACTAGTCCCAGGCGTTGACTGCCCAAGCACGGCCACATTCTTCGACACAATTCATTTTGTAAGCAGCAGTGAGCCAGCTACTTACCGGAAATCGGTGTGTTTATTTGAGCTTGACCTTGGTCTCCCGTTACGCAGACATTTTGATAACGACTTTGAGGGTGGTTACAATTTCTACGGAGGAATGCCAGGAAATGCTTTAGTTTTGCGCTCCGTTTGCACTGCATACAACTACGATTATATTTATGATTATTTGTTCTATCCCAACGGTGTCGTGGAGGTCAGGGTGTCGACGAGTGGCTACGTGCAAGCTACCTATTGGACGGCAAACGAGGCTCCGTACGGTACCGAGATTCATACTGGCATTGCCGGAACTATTCACGATCATTTGATCAACTACAAAGTGGACTTAGACATTGGAGGAAGAAAGAACTCCTTTGAGAATATCGACATCAAAGTGGAAAACATCTCTAATCCCTGGTTTCCAGGCTCCAGAAGAATACAAAAGGTGCTCAGTCGCAGCCTAAAGCAGACCGAACAAGAAGCCACCTATCATCAAAATTTTGAACATCCCAAGTACCTGAACTTTTTCAGCGATGGAAACGTGAATAAGATGAACGTCAATCGCGGTTATCGTATCCACATCCGAGACATGATGAAACAAATATACCCCAATGACTGGGAACTAATGTCAGGAGCCATCTGGACACAGAACCAGATGACGGTCACTAAACGCAAAGAAGAGGAAGAGAGAAGCTCCTCCATTTATAACCAGAACAGCATGCACGACCCCGTTGTGGATTTCTCAAAATTCACTGCAGATAACGAAAATATAGTGAATGAAGATCTGGTTGCCTGGGTAACAGTGGGCGTGATGCACATACCTCATTCCGAAGATATTCCGAACACTGCCACTGCAGCCAATTCAGCCAGCTTTTTCCTGCGACCGTACAACTATTTCAGCGAAGATCCATCCATGTCGTCTCAAGATGGAATACTCATTTTGCCCACCAAAACGGCGCTGACGTCAACACATTTGGAACTCCAGATGGACCTTCATGCGCTATAAAAACAAACCTGTGAAATACACTGGTAATTACGGAGGCGCATAACAATTTCAACCCGTTACGGGTCATTAGCGTATACGCCTTTGATTCACTAATCAGGCTTAAGATTACATTTAACCGACGTTACGTATCTGTAGTGTGATGCATAGGAAATCGTATGAACGCCTGTGCAGTTTGAGCTTTTTCTTTTCGTTTATTTTGTTTGCGTTCGACGTCAGGAGAACACAAACTTTTCATATCGCTTTTTCTGGATACTGAGAAATTTACAGGTTTGGGTGCCATCTTGAACTGGCTGGCCACTAGCCTCGATTTTTTATGCGAGAGCGTTGGATCCCGCCAATGTGATGACATTTTCTTCAGTGTTCCATAGCAATGTCCATAATACCCAAATTCACGATTGGTTCAAGTTTACAACTTAACCAACCGATTGCGGTTTAGGAGCCTGATCGATTTCACTTGACTTGATATGTTAATCCTTCTTATTGTAACCAGTTTTAGAAACTTTAAAATGATTCTGTGCCAGTTTCATTTTGTCAAGTTGGTTTACATGGAACATGACCTGTAAGGAATAAATGATACCAAGATAGCGGCTTATACCCGCAACTACATCTCTTCTGCTCCTGCTTGTGGCACCTAAGTCAATCGCAAATACGGAGTGAGCTGATCTAGGTATTTATCCAACCTGAACCGTATTACCCTGACACAAAAACACTATCTATAGTCCACACATGGGCCTCACTACCTGTTCAATCACCGAACCCGTAAACGTCGCTTGTTTCGGAATTCTATCAACACATACTTCTTTTCCTCAGTATTTAATCTAGATGTAAAGACTAAACCATCAACAGAAACATATTGCAACATATCTATTCTCATTTCCATATCAAATTCTTTCCTGTAACACGGTTTAAATGTCCCTTTCTTATTGGAGGAAAACTGCAACATTACAGTGCGATGTTGCGTTCTAATATTGTTGGTGAGTCCGCCTAAAAAAGTAAAGTCAAACAACATCCTTGATAGGATCGTACTCATGATGGTTATCACCTATAATCAATACCAACGCACTGAATGACTTCATTACGCCACGTTATCAGTTACCACATGATGCCTTGCGTCAATCCAGGGCCCCACGGATTTGTGCGCCGTCATTTACTTTCCCTTGTCATTTAATACCTATCTTTTCGTTCTCATTAAGAAGATATACATCTTAAATGTTTGGTGTCTTAAAGTGAAGTAACCTTCCCTTGAGTTTTTTTCATTGGTATTCATCCTTGAACATCTGATAAATGTAGGTTGTTGTGACTAATAGCAGTTGCATGATCCGCCACACTCTGTTGCCAGGTAACATGTCAGTAAAAGAAGTAACTTGGCTAAGGTATTGACGGTCTGTTGTTGTAGAGGCGATGGTGCGAACGACAACTTGTGTGCACACAAAAATAATGATCAGGCGAAGGTAAAGAGGTCTGAGACCTTTTCTGTGGGGCTGGAGATCCACTTCCTGTAATGTACTGTATTCATCATCCTAAAAAATAGACTAGATGACTTTAATCACATCCTTTCACTGCTATTAATGACCGTTAAGAAATCCCTTCTTACAGTATCAATACACAGCCATGCAGATAAGTGTAGCCAAGAAAATAAACTAAGTAACAGCTAGAAGTTATTGTCCGGATATCACGCCAAACCACTGAAAAGAAAATGTATAGCTGCTCGACGCATGCACGCCCTTGTTCTGTTAAAAGCAGCTGCCTTTATCCTAGAATTTAAAGGTTTCTGATTGCCAATTTGAAATGAAAGCAAACAAAAGAAATTTATTCAGAGACAAGAAACGAGCCAAACCCTTACTGGACAGACTTTAAAGGTAATTGAGCGAAGTTATTGAAATGTTTCAGTGTTACTGCTTACCTCTTTCTGGTGAAAGAAAGTCGGAGTCAAAGTCACGAACCCAACAACACTTGCAATCCTCATCAAAGCAAGCAGAAGACACGTGGGTGAGATGAACACCGAAAATATTCTTTTAACACGCGTGGCATGCGCTGAAAAATGAAAACAAATCAATTAATCAAAGAGTAGATAGTGAAATTAGATATGACATCACGAGGTTGTTTATTTTCGCCACTTGCATTCAGCTTTTTATACGGAGTTAGGAAAAGCGTGAAGGAACTCGTTCACAATTGCTTCAGATTCAAAAGCTCGAAGTAAAGATAGACGCATTGACGAACAGGATGCGATTCAGCTTGGGGGTTTCAAAATGACAGGCCAAGACAAACCAACTGGATTCAAACGCAGCAACCCTCGAGTATTGTCTTAAGGTACTTGATACGACTTTACGGAATGTCCTTAATAGTGGCATTACCCGGAAACCATTGGTCAGTTCACCGACAAATATCAGGCGAAGTGACCGGTAACCATAGTGGCTCTTAGTTGATTGAACCAGCCGCGTCAACCTGCATTACATGTACAGTATTTACTCGGCTGTAAGTCCAGCTTGGCTATAAGACGAGATACCAAACTTGTAAAATGTAGAAGCAGTCTAACAAACACGGAAAATAAAGCAAGAACAACTGGCTAATGACTGATTTTAATTTTTAACAAAAACCTGACATTTACGTAAAAGAAGTTACAGTGAAAACTACTTATATATCAAATGAAAGGTACATTAATTTCTTTCCTTCACGTTTACAGTTTATAGGCAGCATCTTTACATACCTATGCTTACTTTCGCCATCGATAAGAACACCTTGAGGAATGAACGGTTATCGGCGACTTGTCTATTTAAAAAGCATAGGGTATAAAACAAATTACGAAAGATTTGCAGCAGAGCCTATGTTTCCGACCGAAACAAACTGCATATGTACACGAATAAATAAATAAATAAATAAATAAATATGCATAATAAATGAGATATTTTTGAGAGAGACAACACGGAAAAATAAAGGAAACAGTAAACAGAAACCAGCAACGAACTCGACCCACAGTGACATATCACCTCAGCTTTATGGAGGTTTCGTCCAATTGTTAGTTCGTTCCCTACCACCTTTGCGAGTTCGCCCACTGTAATGAAACAAATTGACCTTTACTTTCACAAGGTTGCCCCCAAATCCTTCTACTTGTGTCCTCACGGCAGATAGTATTTATTTTCAGTCGAAATCACAAAGTATTTGGATCAACATGCATTATTTTTCCTGAGAACCTCCAGTTACCCCATGTCGAATATAAACCCTTGGCCACAGGGGTGGGGTACGATTACATTCTCTGTTGTTGACTTGTACTCTTTTCAACTCTTGAACATAGGCCCTTATTTGGAAGGATTTCAGGATCTTTACAATACTACTTTGTGGCCGGCCATTTCCCTAGACTGCAGTAGAGAGTAAAGAGGCCCTGAAGGGGGAGAGGGGTGGGGATAACAAAGGCTCTGTACACTTTCAAAATTTGTACCCTTCACTAGATAAAAACGAAAAGGAACTCTGAAGGAGTGAACGGCATTCCAAGAAAACTTCTCATTTCAAACAAATCAGAAAGAATACAGGTACTATGTAGAGGGCGGCAAAGGGTTTGTGCGTGACGCATGATTAAGCTCAAAATTAAGACGTGACACGTGAATTTCTCAGAAGGGCAAGGCAAGCTAAGATCTGGAAATTGTCCTTTTAAATCCAAAATCCGAGTGAAATACTGCCTAAAGTGCATGTGTTCCGTGAATTTTTCAAACTTTCGTGTATGAAAACACCTCCTCCCTCCTTCCCCCCCCCCCCCCAACTTGGCTACCCTCTATGTAAAATGCAGACGACCTATCGAATCAGTCAACTCCTGTACGGTAACATAGCATATGCTTTCTGTTTGTATAATAAAGTGAGGCAGAAAAATAAAATGCAAAGACAGAGACAACTGTTTGGTTTATGAACAAGCAGGAACAAAAAACTTACTGTAGCCACTGTGATGGCACATCTAAGGAATTTTCTTGCATCAATCTTTCCTGTTTCATAGCCCAAACTATAAAAATCATCACAAGGCTAACAACAGCTGCATCAGATATGATACCTGAAGGAATACAGAAAGAAAAGAGGAAATGCAATAAAAATATATTTTTCTTTTAAGTAGGTCAAATATTCAACATTTGTCTTATAAACATAGGCAGGTAAAACTCAAACATCATATAAACAAATAGATATATACTGACATTGGCTTCATATATTTTACCAATGAACCAGACTGCACTTTCTATGGTTCATGATTTATGAACTTTCCTCCTGTTCTCCCAATATCCTGTGTGGGCTTAATTTCAGTGCAACACTAATGTAGAATGTGGTCTATTTCTTAAATAAATCAGTGAATACATGTATAGGTTTTATCCAAGGCATACTCATAACTGTTACTTTATCTGCTATTACAATTAACCAAACTGTGACTTGCACTCTTAATTAATTCAGCCATTCCAATTTATCTCCTTTGACTAGAATCTGTGACTTGCATTCTTAGTTATTTATGCCATTTGAATATATCTCCTCTGATTAAAAGTCTGTGCATGGTTGCATGCACTGATCAATAGAATGGTTCTCTGATGAAGAAAAGACCACACTCCAGTAAATCACTGTCCGGAATTCTCACTACATTTAGCTTGTTGCTATCAGAGCTACTTGCCTTCTTCCTTATACAAGCAAATAAATAACACCAAAATTGTTAAAATGACTGCAACTCCTGCACACCTGTAACAGGAGTATTTGAAAAAAGAAATTATTTGTAAAAAGCTTTGAAAGAAAATCCTTTGGGGTCATTTGGAAATCTTTATAATTATTAAATATATTTTGGAATTCTGGAGGAGCCTCCATTGAGTCTGTTTGAGAATCTACAAATGTGGTGAATGTGGAAAAACATAGGAAGAAAATAATCTTCACTACAGTCAGCAATTTAATGAAATTAAGGAAAAAGGACTGTGGGAAAATTCAGAGCTTTGGGCAATCTGTGGTTTAAAACTGCGTGAAAAACTGCAATATTCTGTAGGATTTCTTTACAATGCTCTGAACAATGAAAACTGTATGCAAACTTTAAACAACCAAAGCTGATTGTAAACTATAAACCACAATCATTTAACTTTCAGCACTATTGGGTTCAAAATTTTCCTCTCAAAAATTGAATGTGATACAATTAGCACAGGGTTACATTCTGTAAAGCCATATCCAGGAACTAAGACACATCAAGCTTCTTTTCCAAGTAATAAGGCCCTTCCAATGAGTGTAAAGAACCCTTGGACAATTATTATTCCATCAAAAATGAAAGCTTAAGACTCACCAAGTTTCTGTGTGTGTTGAGTGAATATCTGTGAACAAATGATAGCTGAGATATATTGACAAAATGTATGCAACTCCTGAGATTGCTAAAATAGAAGTCTGAAAAACAAACAGGCAACTGAGGTTGTACACTCTTGGATGAATAAAATCACATGTTAACTGTATGTAAAATAATAATAATTATTCTTTGTATCTACCACACAGGTAAATAGTGCTTTTAGAGGGCACTGGTTGACTGGTGCAGAAATAATAAGCAAGTACTGTTTTGCTCCATCCAGTTAAAGAAAAAATTCTGCATCAGCAATTTAATTTCCCACCATTTTATGGTTCATTGACTGAAATAAACTTATTTTTTAGTTCATGCAAGGAATATATTAAAATGACTATTCACCTCAGTTTTGGGGACAGTAGTGGATAGTTACCTCACTGCTTTGCATCTCAGTAGATAACCATTATCATTCACCTCCACTTTGGTAAATAATTGTTAAATTGCTAATTTAAATAATTAACATAAAGTTGAACTAAAATCACCTTTACATGTAGCTTCTGATTTCACAGAAGATACACAATCTCAGTCATTGCTTACAATAGACAAAGTGGAAAAAAAAAGAACTAAGACTACTTAGTCACTGTAAATATGAAAAGGGACCCAAATGCTGTTGCTGAAGGCCCACAGAGGCTTAGTTAGTAACTATAGAATACCTTAACTATAACTGGTTGGTCTTCAATCTCATTCACAAAAGATTGACTGATGTACATCACCACTAAAACAACTTGTATTGCCTCAACAAACAAAAGTGCAAATTCTGAACACTGAAGAAGCTTCAGATAGCACCAGACCACAATGGTTGGGGCTGTGTTGAAAGGGAGGAAAAGGAGAACAGCAAATGACAGCAACTGTAGCATAGGTATTGCAGCTTTCTAAAGGGTGAACAAAAAATAAAAAAGAGCAGATTACACATTTAAATTCACCGCAGTTTTTGTGTTTGAATATGGCCTTAAGTGTTCTCTGAGGATGCATAGAGAGGATGACGGCAAATAAGTACTTGTTTGAACAGGAGGGACTGATTTTTAAAATGTAAAGAATGTGTTCACTTTAAATTGATCATGATCTACTTTGTTTTAGATTTTATTGTTCATTTATTAACCTTAAACCTTCCAAGAAGTAAAATACATTCTGTCTTATAATAAAAAAATCTATAATCAAGGTATTTCTTCTCTTTGGATAAGCAGTGTGTTGTGTTGCATACTATTTGTGCTTGTTGTGTTAGAGTCCTGATAGTTGTGGCTTTGTGTGATGATGGGTTGTAGGATGACTTGTCTCGTAATCTGCTAGTGTATGTTGGTTTCCTGTAAACTGTTGTATATAGCAAGTTGTAGTCATGGTTTAGACAGCCTAGAAGAGGAAGTTTACCATTTCCTTTGACTTCTCTGGTAAACTGTATGTCAGTGTTTCATCTGGTGTAATGTATTGATTTTGTTTTTTTGCATAGCAGTGAATGTATTGTTAACACAAGATATCCAAGATGGTATCATCTGTTGGAAAATCAAAAGGGTGTGTTCCTCCTTTTCTACATCACAATTTGTGTCACAACAACAGAAACCAGAGACCTCATAGCTGTATTTTGTAGTGTTTAATGTTACACTGAATGTAAGTTGATGTTAAGCAAATGTTCAATTCAACTAAACCAAGACTAGCAGAAACCACATAACAAGACTGACTAAACACAAGCAGGCAACCAGGAAAGGTGATGTCAACAATCACATTGCTGAAAATTAGTGCCTTATAAAACACAATATTGACTGGGACTCAGCACAATGCCCAACCTACAGCACTAACTATTTTTAGTGACTGACTCTGGAAAGATGGTTTACTAACTTAAAACAAACTCCTTGCAACAGGTTCACCATACAAATGGCTTAAAAAACAAACAAACCAAACAGGTTGACCTAATTTTACCAACAGATCAAAACCAACCAATCATGACCACTTGAGTCTTACAGCCGATTATATTATGGCAAAACTGACCAATCAGTTTATAAGAACTGGACTTAGAATATTCAACTTGCAACAAATATTCACCTGACCCTGATAATGACTTCCACTCAGGTTGTTGAAGCATTAGTCACCACTACTGACAACAGTCCTTCTCAGGACTACACTCACTCAGACAATCAGACTACACTATCACAAATTTCATCTTATTCATGTGCATATGTACCCATAATTACAAAAGATAAAGCTTGGAATTCCCCTGAGACCTGAAGAGGGTTAACAATCTATACAAGTACACAAAGACTGTGAATATATATAAAAATCATAAATGAGAACTGCAGACAAAGAAGAGAATATGAAAGTGATCTTTGCAGTAATGAACACAATTTTTGTTAAGGTCACAGCCCTTAGGTAGTGGGTTCATCCGCACATGCAAATTAAAATTCAGTTCTTGAATAGAGAAAACAATGACTAAAACAATACATTGCCATTGGGAAAACAGATTTGTTTTACAATAGTATGGGGCTGTGCGGAAATTTTACCAAGTAGTGTTCTCTATTGTGATAATCGCTATCATCTACAAGCACTCTGAACCTCAAGGTCTACTGAACAGAAAATACACAGTCGAGGACAGGGTCACTCAGTTAATAATGGGAACACATGACAGTTTCCACAACAAAATGAGTGAAGGGATTGGATCTCGGAAACCTGACCAGACTAGTTGACAGGGCTAAAATGGACAGATATGAACAGGGCTTTGAGAATCTTTAAACAAAACATAACTTATAATTCATTAACCGAGGATTAGACTCACTACAACATCCGGTATTGCGGCGAGTATGGCAGAATGTACACACAAAAACAAAGAAAATCTCACTGCTGCTTCAGTACCAAAGTATGAAAAATACAAAGGCAACGATAATGCTCCTGTTATCAATAAAATTGTGTTACTTGCTGTTACAAAAGTAAGGAAGCCCATAAACGCCATTTTCAGATTTCCCGCATTCGCGCCTTCTATCTTACTGGCCAGAGGACGACGGAAATCGCTTAGGGCCGTAGTTCAGAACGGGCAGATCACACGTGTGTTCGTAGTTATAGCACATTGTTGGCTTTAAAAAAATCTATGATGGTTACGAATACAGCTCTGAAATTTGGTATTTGAATTATATGTTTGTCTAAATATCTCACTTAAGTTAGATGAAATGTCAATCGACTCATTTATGGTATTTTTTCGTCTACTCAGTGGGCCTTTTCAAAGCTCCGCAATGGGCTACTTGAAACGACCTGCATGATTAGAATTGAGAAAGCTGTATTCATGATTTCATTATCGATTTCCTCAGAAAATGTTGGAGGTGTGAAGTTCAAATTCTGCGAAGAGATAGAGCCATATCAACAACCGTCGCCAGTCGAGATAAAAGAGGATCCAACATAGGTTTGGCGGGATGCGGGATGAGGCTTAAAATTGGGGCGGGATGTGGGATACGAGAAATTTTAAAGGTGGGATGCGGGACGGAAAGAGGAAGGCGAGACTGGGATATGCTCTGTTTCGAAGGGATAGTTACGGAAACGAAGACCTAAGACCCCTACGAAAACGAAGATCCATTACGAAAACGAAGACCCATTATGAAAACGAAGACCCATCACGAAAACGAAGACACATTACTAAAACAAGTTCAAAAGAGGTTGGTATTACCTTTGGAGACAAAGGTTGTGTGCATAAGACACACTACGAAAAGGAAGATTCTTACGGGAATCTTGAATTCTGAATTTGGCACGTCTGTAATTTATTACAGAATATTTCAACAGTAAAGCCCATGGAACCTTCAATGGGACTACTTTAAAGCTAAAACGAGATTTAATGGAAGAGACATGACATGCATATGGTGGTATATAATGAATTAAAAAGATTAGGAGTGTGTGGTTAATTAAGTTTTTCGGGTTGCATCTCTCTGTCTCTCCCTGCCTAGTGTGTTTTAAAAAAATTATTATTTTGAATAATTAGTCCTGAGGAGCTGTAACACTTCGCCTTTAGCGAAGCTTTTTGCTCCCGGTGGGTGACACGTTGTGTTGAACGTGTACTGGATGTCTCTATTAGTTTGAAGTGGGTTCCTATATCGATAACTGATTCCCTGTTGAATCTTTTACCCATATAGATAGTTGTGTCAAAGAAAGTAGCTTCTGAAACAGATATTTCAGCCGTTAATTTGATTGTTGTGTGATGTTTATTTGCTTAAGCTTGTTCGATGAACTGGTTAACGACATCTCTGTTAAGGTACATGAGAGAGATTGTGTCGTCTATGTAGCGTTTCCAAACGGGCGCCGGTTTGTTAGCTCTATTTTCGAAGATTTGCGTTTTGAATTTAGCCATGTAGATATTTCTAAGAACTACTGCCTTTTTGATGACCATGGCGGTCATCCGTACGGTACGTTGCAAGTAATTTTGTTCGTTGAATTGGAATGAGTTCCTTTCTCTTGTAAGGGCTTTGAAATGAAAAGGGGGGTTGGTGGAGGGGGGTTTCTCTGTAAAATTTCTCGTATGCTGTGCATACTATGTTTATGCCCTCAGCTTATGGTATATTTGTGTAAAAGCTCGTAACATGCATTGAAACGAATATCAACTCAACGAATATCAAGCTTTGTTTTTTTTTTTTTTTGTAAACTTCATGAAGTTTGTTGTATAGTTGAAATATGACTTGTATTGTTGTGTGATCGGCTGAAGTTAATAGCTCTTCTGTCACTATAATTTGGAGTGTAAATGCAAGTTTAGACAGCAATAACGAAAAGTAGCGTTTAATGAAACGAAAATTATTCTATTAGCGCTCTTTGGATTGAGATTAGTAACAGACAATTCACGCGGTTGTTGAAATTTTTATTTTTTTAAAGTCTGCAAGTGCCAGCAAAAGTAAACCTACATGCAAGTTGCAGATGGATCGTTCTCCAAAAGGTACAAAACTTTGATTCCTAATGAGAACGTGGAACTGAAGTTAAGGAGGTTATAAGATTCCCTTGGCAACAGACTTTGATCCAATAAAATGTTGTGTTTAATTTGAGAACAAAGAAAAAATATCGCATAATGCCATGCTTTTAGGGGTTACGCTCAAAAGCAAGCATAGTGACTTGGTTGTTTGCTTTGCCGGATGGATGGGTGTAAGAATGAACAATGTTTCGGCGAGAATGTGTCATTTTCCGTCGAATCTTGCTAAGGTAAAAATATAATGTCTTAACTTTTCCCCGTAAGCATTTCTAGCTCTTGTTCTATCAGTCTTGAATGCGATCACTGAAACCTGAAAACTGAAAAGTGAAATGGAAATTTAAGCTAAGAACGACTGTCTACGCTTTCGATAAGAATTATAACTGTTGGTAACTTAAAAAATCACGAGCTTATGTTCTGTCCTTCGACAAAGCACATTATGGTATGTCTCACGAGGCTATTTACAACCCGTTTAGATAGAATTTTAGCGACACCTCGTTAAATCTGGTTCTCGTAAATTAAGGGTTGTTACGCATGAAATTATCCACACGAGAGTTTATGCTCGCACGAAAGGGTCTATTTTTCTCCCGTCGAGACTCTTGTGAACGGGAACTTTCAGTCTCTCAAAACGTGAAAATCAACTTTTATTCCAAAATCTTCTCGAAATCGCAAAATTACGCACCAACAAGGTCTACTTTTGCGATCCAGTCGTTAACTGCTGTTTACCAAAAGAAATTATGTCTGTACAATGTATTGCGTTTACCTGAGATTACGGCATGAAAATGCCTCCTTAGAAAATATCTAAACTTACTTACAAAGCGTTTTTTAAACACAAAAACTTACATTATACCAGAGTACTTATATACAGAGCTTCAGAATTACAGTCGTGGAACGCCTCTCTCCCTGAGACCAGCTGGTCTAAAATGGAATGTGACGACAACTTGACGGTGCCTGGAAATTATATATACACAAGCTCGGAGAACTTGTCATCTAAAAAAACAAATTAATTTTTGGAATCGTATGACATTTTTAAACAGATTTCTGGTATTCTTAGGAAATTTGAAAGAACCTTTCGGTAGAAATCCTACGAAAATTTCTGACTGCGAGGGATTAAGCCACACCTAGAAAAAAGTCAATATTTGCATATCACACTGAACAATTCTCTAGGTTACGAAAAAACCTTCGTTGGAATGTGTAACAATACAAATTAAAATTTCACCGAGTTAGGAGGTAAAGCCGATGGCAATCTAGAAAAGTTGTTGTGGTAAAATTCTTTGATCAGTTTATTAGAAAATCGGAGATATTTTTGGTGGGCTTTGTGAAGTATCTACTGACGACAACCCCGGTTTTATTTCTTTTCGCTACCCGTGGGTCGTCTTGAATTACTCTTAAATACAAATATTTCATTATCCTTAAAGTTAGTCATCAACAGTCGCCAAGAACAGTCACTAGTTTTTTTTTTCCCAACACAATTTCGCTCACCATAGTCTAATTAGACAAGAGTCATACAAACATATGGATCCTGCTTATCAAGTACGTACATTTAATTTATGCTTATCAAGTAAATTACATTATGTTAAAACCTTTTTAATGAAAAAGAGAAATCTAAAACGTAACGAATCACCAACTTGCGAACTCTACGACACTTACGATCTTCGAGCCTCTCTACGGGTATTTCCGAAGAAATCGAAGACGCGAAGATCACCGCAGAAAAAACAAAGATCTCAAGATTGAAGCGAAGATCTGAAAATTGACCAAAATTTGCGTGATCAAATTGAACACTCAGATATAAAACTGTCAAAACTCGTAAACACTACAGAAAATATCTGTTATTTCTAAATTTTGGCATTTGACCACATTTCACTGCCATTTTTACAACGATGTCAACAGTGGTTTACAGTCGCTGCCGCGAAACCACATGATGCCATTACAAGGCTGAAAACGACAAAAATTGGGAATAACACTGAATAAACGTTTACACCATTTAAATCCGAAAAACGAAGATCTTCCTCTTCTCGATTATCCGGATCCTCGATTATCCGGACTATTTTATGTAGTCCTAACGAGTCCGGATAATCAAGGTTCTAGTTAATGGCTTAGTTCTTTATGTTAAGTTTAATTTCCATAACATTTATTTGTTAGGTAAGCCATTCACTGGGGATTAATATTTCTAGTTGGCTTAGTTCTTTATGTTTAGTTTAAACAACCCTTCAGTTGGAGCAATTTGCCATGAAATAAATTTCATTCGACCAAAGCTCCAGCTATGAGATGATCATCTTGCGAAATAAAGAGTCATGGCAAAATTTGGGAATATTAACGACCGCTCCTAAAAAGAAGAAAGAAAAGCTTTCCTTACGTGCGTAGTTAACCTAGAAATGAATAACTCGCTAAAATGGGTTCTTTTCAACATAGTAAGTGATCAGATAGCAAGCGATGCACTATGGAAGCAAGATGAGGTATTTTTATTGAGAATTTGACAATATTTTTTACTCTTAGGAGCGGTCGTAAATGTTCCCATTCAAACTGTTATAATTTCGTCATGACTATTATTTCGCAAGATGATCCTCTCACAGCTGGAGCTTGGGCCGTCTGTTATTCGACCTGTGGATTGAAATCAAATGAAGCTATGGTCCTCACAGGTAATATCTGCAAGAAAGTCTGAAAAAATTCAGGCTTTGACAAGATTCGAACCCATGCGTGTTTCCTAGATATTAAGTAAGCCTTTATAAGTCATAGGCTGTTGGCTGCTTGTTATTGGGCTAAGCATATTTGTTTGCTTCAATGGCATTCATATGTCCTTCTTCTTAACTATCAACATGTTAATCTGTCATTAAATGAAATGCAAAATCCCAATTTTGTTTTTGTCGAAAAAAAAAAAAGAAGACAGGGCCTCTTTTTTTGTACGACAGTTAAGAATTGGTATTTCACTGAGCATACTTAGATCTAACAAAAATAGTACCTCCTTTGCTTTGGTTATTATTTTCAGTTTATATTAATTGTTATCATATCGCTGGTAG